AATGCCGCCAAAGGCTCCTGTCACACCTGGCCTGCTCCCGCACCAGCCCACCTTAGCCTAGGTAGGCCTAATCTCCAGCTGGGCTGGAACACTGGGTGAATGGAGTCGTGGTGGTGATCACCTGGGAAAGAGGACTGCAGGGAGCCTCTTTAGTTCCAGCCCTTCCCCATCCACCTCCATCCTGGGACCCATGACCATCTAACCTGGTACTGAGAGTAAGTGGCACCGTGAGTGCCAGGCACTTTGCTAGAACAGCTTGCTGCGCCCTAAAGGTGCTACATGTAGTCAGTCACTGGACCGCATCACTCATAGATTCGAGGCATCCCACTGGCACATCCCACAGAACCAGACCTGGGACCCAAGTGATCAGACCCTTTTTGTTGCCCCTGGTGACTTTGACCTAAGCACCCCTCTTCCTGCCCCACTCAGGACAGGCCTGTTTGACCTCTACCCTCACCTATTTTACTTAGGCAAGCCTAGGCCCTGGCAAATGACAGGCATTCAAGAAGTGCTTCCTGATGGGACCAGCAGGTGGTGTGGTGGTTTAGGCACTGGACACTCCCATATGGCCAACCACGGTTTGAGTCCTGGACCTGGTGGCTTGCTTTCTCACTTTCCTCACTCTCTCTCTGTGTCTCTCTCTGGTCAAATTAAAATGAAGGAATGAATGAATAAATAAATAAATCTTATAATAAAAGAAAAAGAAAAGAAGTGCTTCCTGCATGGATGGTTTTTCGAATCCTTGCTTAGCCCTACGTCACCAACTATGGTCAGGTCCCTGGAGTCCTGTACCATTCCCAAGGAGCCCTCCTCCACAGAAAGCCCCCATTGGTTGACCCCTCTCAGACTAAGCCTTTCAAAACATTTCTGAGATACTCATTAGATAGTCCCTGCGTGAGACTAACCGCAACTTGTTCTGAAGTCTTGCTTGTGAGTACACAGGGAACTGGGCACTAACCTGGCACCTACGTTGACTTTGGGCTGGGCTGCTGCTCTCCTGGGTGCAGGCTGTCTTAGTGCTGGTGGATCCTTATGTTCTGTGAACTTCACTTTACCACAGGTGCTTCTCCCAGGGAGGAGCCATAGGAAGTATGGAGTTACTGTGCATTTACTGAGCACCAGCTGCATGCCTCCATCTGCTGCATGTTATTGATGGGAGACAAGGGAGAGAGCGCCACCTCTCTGCCTTCTTCCAGGTGCCTGAATTCCAGGGGGCGAGGAAAGTTTGTGCTCTGCATACAAGAAGCGCTTAGGAAATGCTTGGCAATGGTAATCTACCATGAAGGCCACCGCAGGCCTCAGAGAAACCTGGTAACCTCTTCTCTAACCACTGTTGTGCTGTGCTGACTTGAGGCAGGGCCTTTGTCCAGAGCCCAGACACAGGATGCTCAGAGGTGGAGCCAAGAGCCCCATCTGATTCTCCTGGGGTTCCAAGTTTCCTTGAGGTCTGAGCTATGAACAGCTCCCACGTGACCTGGGGGCAGGACTACCTGCTTTGGGAAGTATGAGGACCCTGGATGTCAGCACCCACCCTCAGGGAAGCAATGCTGATCCCCTCCTCCAACAACGAGAAGTACACCCTTCTCCCAAGTGTCCCTAGTGTGGCCCTGCGCTTGCCTTTCCGACAAGTGAGGGCCAGCACCAGCACAGGGCTGTGGCC